GCCATGATGCTCAACCGTGTTACATTTTCTTTCATTTAAATTTCAAGTCAATCTTTTAACAGACAGTAACTCCTCAGAATTAGATTTTCCTTTGAACTTGTAGTCCAAATAAACATTTTTTTGTCTTTTGAGACAGGGTCTTGCTATGTACTTCAGGCTGCCTTGAACTTCCTATGTACCCCAGGATGGTAATGAATTCAGCAATCCTTTGATTTCACTCTCCTGAGTACTGGAATTACAGACATGCCCCCTTACACCTAGCCCAAACATTTTTTTTCCTTCTTCTGTATTTTAGGGATGGGTCTACAGGGTGTTCAGCGTCTCATTACTAGATCAGATTTGTGATCCACCTGTTTTATAGCCTCCCAAGAGTTGGGATTACAGGCATGCACCACCATGCCCAGTCTCAATCTAAGTCTCAGCGCGCCCCAGGGGCGGAGCCAGCACAGCAGGCCCAGGGATCGAAACCCCGGCGCCTGCACCTGCTTGCACCAAACATTTGAGAGAAATAATTTTTTGTGGGTAGTATAGTACTGAGGATTGAAACCAGGCCTTCTGAACTCAGCTACAACCTCAACTCTTATTTTGAGACAGGGTCTCACCAAGTTGGTAAATGGATCAGGCTGAGTCTGAATTTATGATTTTCTTACCTTAGCCTCCCAGAATATCCGTTACAAGTGTGCACTACCATGCCCAGCCAAGGAATTATTTTTCTGTTTCTTTCTTTTTTTTTTTTTTTTTTTGGGGGGGGGGAAGGCAGCACCAGGGATCAAACTCAGAGACTCTGCACTTGCCAGGCAAGCGCCTATTTCACTGAGCTACTCCCCAGCCCCAAGGAATTATTTTTGATAATAAGAATATTGTATTTTCTTCTAAACCATAGCTATGCTATTGTTATGGGTTTAGATGTTTTAACTGCCAGAAACAGGTACTGCAAGCATGGAAAAGAAACTTCAGAGGACTTAGGTCCACGTACTGAATGCAATCCCCGAAGTCCTGAACACAGACAATGATTCTCCTACCTGCAATGTTTCTTCCCCTCTTCGGTACTGGGGATTGAACTCAGGACCTTGTGTTGCCAAGGAAGTGCTTCTTCTGAGCTTTTTCCCTGGCCTCTACTTGCAATGTTAAATCAAAGAACAGAGGCATTTTTCTTGCCTTACCTTTGGATACTGCTTGACAGGTATCAGTACCCGTTCTTTCAGCTTCATATTCTTATGAGAAAATAAATCCAAGTAATTCTCTTCATCATCTTTTTTTGAATCACCTTTCTGGATCTTCTCAATTTCTAAATAGGAAAAAGATAATTTATTTCTGCTTTGGAAATAAAGCATATTTCTAAGACTGCTTAAAGCAATACCACGTGAGTACTGTGTAAAAGGAACAAATCATTCAGATGAATTTACAAATTTTAGATTGACTAAAAGCACCAAAGATGTTAGGCTGACTAGGCCACCCACTGAAACCTCTAATTCAGTTAAGTATCTTTTGAGTAAGGAGTGCTGTAAATGAATTTTAAAAAACAAACAGGATAAGATGGAGGGAAAAAAGAGAAATAAAAAAAATTTTAAGAATAAATCTTATCGGGGCCGGGGAGATGTCTCAGTAGGATAAGCGCTTGACTGGCAAACATCAAGGATCTGAGTTCAATC